TCTTTGTTTTCTTAGATGATATTTTTGTTCTTTGATTTCTTAGATAATGTTAGTTTTGTTCTTTGGTTTCTCAGATAATGTTATTTTTGTTCTTTGTTTTTATTAGATGATATTTTTGTTCTTTGATTTCTTAGATAATGTTAGTTTTGTTCTTTGATTTCTTAGATAATGTTAGTTTTGTTCTTTGATTTCTTAGATAATGTTAGTTTTGTTCTTTGATTTCTTAGATAATTTTAGTTTTGTTCTTTGATTTCTTAGATGATATTTTTGTGGGTTTTTTTTTTTTTTGTTTTCTTAGACGCTTTTTTTATTCATTGTTTATTTTGTTCAGTGTTTTTTGAGATGATTTTCTTTTTGTTCATTTTTTTTTTTTTTTTTTTTTTTTTTTTTTTTTTTTTTTTTTTTTTTTTTTTGGTGTTGTGTTTTTTGTTTTTTTTTTTTTTTTTTTTTTTTTTTTTTTTTTTTTTTTTTTTTTTTTTTTTTTTTTTTTTTTTTTTTTTTTTTTTTTTTTTTTTTTTTTTTTTTTTTTTTTTTTTTTTTTCCTTCATTGTTTTCTTAGATGATATTTTTCGTTAATTGTTTTCTGAGATGATTTTTTTTTAAAAATGCATGTAAAATATTAGATATCGATCAAGCGTGAACCCAATTGCTAACAACGAGCTTGACACCATCGATGGATTTTTATTTAACGTACAATGTTGCATGCTAGATTAATTGACTCATTATAAGAGTGTTGAACTTCGATAGAGCTTTCAAGTAGATTAAAGAGACGCAAACAATGTGAACATGTACGGGCAATGTGAATAATTGGGCATTATTTATAATGCCCGGGCAATTTAAAAAGTGCCAAGAGGGATGTGACAAAAATTGCCCGGACATTATGAATAATGCTGGAAATCGAGTGAGCAATTTGAGAAAATTTGTATTCATATTTCTCTACATTCTAAAATAAGAGTATATTATATATTCAAACAAATTTTTAAATAACTAACAAACAAATAAAGATACAAACTGGTGGTGATAAAATAAGTATAAAAATTATGTACGCCTAACTAAAAAAAAATATTAGGTATGTACTTACAAATACATAGACAGACAAAATGTCAAATCCTAGCGTTTCTATTTATTAGAGCAGCTTCCACTTACATAGCTTTTTTTCTTTACGGCACTTGCACTTGTTAGATTTACAGCCACATTTATAGCCACATCGACTATAGCCTTGGCCCCCAGTCTTGGATGACATTCTTGCACATTCTCTTAGTGAAATCTCTGTCTGAGGAATTTCTTCGGCGTCAATAAACTTTTCATTACATTTTGTAAATTGGTTCCTAGCATCCAGTTGATTTAGGATTCCATGTTTTGTGCCTAATTTATAAATATTGACATCTTTTATTTTAAGAACAAATGCTAAAATATTTCTTCCATCGGTGCGACCTCTGTCGTCATCCCAGACTCGAACTCTAACTGTGTCACCCTTTTTAGCGGCATGGAGGTATTTTGAATTAGAGGTTTGAAGCCTTTTTTCAGCTTGTTTTTTAGATTGCTTACTGAAATATGCCTAATTTTTAATATGCCAGCTTTTCTTTTTTTTTTTCACATTGGGATCCTCTGAGAAATCTTCATCACCTTCATATGCGCGTTTTTCATGACCGGAGACTTGACTATCAGATGGTTCGGAGACATTTATTTATCGTTCGTTGTTTATGGCAATCAGAACTTGGTTCAGATAACGAAGTTGAAGGTTGAACATAACTATCAATAGAAGATAGTTCTTCCTCGTTACGTTGACTTGGACTTAGCTCCGCTAAAAAAATGGTTGTCAATTAATTAAAGTGACGAGAGAGATAATAGCAGTATTTATAATGACTGGACAATGTAATAAATTATCCAACATTGTCGTAGACCAATACAAAATTATTAAATTGCCCGATTTTATCGGTCATTATTTATAATGACCAAGCATTATGAAAACTGCCCGGAATAATCAAACTGCCCGTAACATATACATAAAACAGTATAGGTTAAGCTTTATTAATGGGTACACAGAAAATCAAATGTAAACGTTTCGGCAAATGGCTTCATAATCCAAGAAACAAAATAAAAGAACATTTATATAAGTATAATCAAATGTCTGACGAGGCCAATTTTGGAAGGGCGGTCTCAACTGCACTTCTCGCAGGAGAACCTCGACTTCCGATTGGCTTTGGCCGTCCGTAATGCTCATGTCCTTGCAAGGACTTTGCTCCACGCATCTTCTGCCGATGCATTCGTTGTTTTGTTGAGTCTTTTTTTGCCCCAGGTTTTCTCGTACCTTTTTTTAAAACATATTTTCTTCCAGACATTGAAAAACATTTAAAGGAAATCAAATCATCACGTCGATAGTCATCTGAACACGTTGGCTCACAGCGCCACTCAAATGTAAAACGAACACAGCTGTAAATGGCCATATACTGGAAAGCGAAACGATAAGTCACCACAAAGTATAGATAAACGTGTATATTAACAGACGTTCGACCTCTATATTTCAGAATAAATGAATACCAATAATACAAATTTAGTAATATGTTGTTTGTTACGATGAATACTTGTTTATCTGAGAAAGCATCGAAGGGTATCCATCATTCAAGTGGCGCTATGTAAAAGGGGCGCCCTTTTAAAATTTAATAACTCATTTTTCTTTTTTCTTTTAAAATTATTTCTAAAGTTTTGACTCTTGTATTATTACAGCTTAAGAAACGCCCCCCCCCCTGCCCCCTGGTTTCCCTAATCGCAATACCAAGACTCCATCTGGAAGCATTTTGTTTCGTAATGAAGTCTTCTCAAATACGCAATAAACCCAAACTATTTCTCAACATACATCAGTATAGGCTCTTTCCTTACGTTTGACCGTCCTCTTGTTCAATAGTACTTTGTTGACAAATAAGATCACACACACAAAAACACACACAAAAAACAAGAAACTGCCTCCCTGGTATCTTTACGACCATCGTCATCGATTCGAACGCCACGCTCTCCCACCACACGGGCACTTAATGTTCAGAAGGGAACATCACATGGGCGACATGTTGGCCTACGTCATACCAACACCACGCCCCCCAACTCCCCCTTCCCCCCACACACACACTTTTACAAGTTCGCTAAATAAAATCCCAGGATATTGATCATGGCAATGGATATCACCCAAAATAGGTTAGGAAAGATTTTCAAAAAAAAAAAAAGGAAGATGCAACAATTTTTTTTTAAAACTCAACCTGCACCATAGGCTTTTGGTTCATGTTCGAGGTCACGTGACTCTTGGACAGCGTTTGAGAAATATCTTCTAAGGATTTGTTAACCCCCCACCCCCCTCCCCCCAACATCCCCGACACACACTTATAACAAAAAATAAGACAGTTATTGTGTTTCTTGTAACATTTATCCAGATATTACATGGCTTAGCGATTGCCTTTTTTTTTTTATTATTATTATTGTTATAAAGTTAAGGACTGAGGCTTATCAATCGTAAGGGTCCTCTCATTTAAGACTTTTTTTTACAAAAAATTAATTAAAAGTAATTATTACATTCAACTTACACTTATAATTAATTATAACTTACATATTTACTTACAGTCCAAATAGGAGCAAATCACCACAAGTGGTGACTTCGCAAAGAACGCGGAGATGACATGCTGCAGATAGCATTGCGTTTTTGTTTTATTTTCAAAGCATTATTGATAAACAGATTTACATAAATCAAATAGACCTTCCTCAAGTTGCTGTTATACATTTTTAATTTTTTTCATTACGAAGTCATCTACAATTTTGTTTTTGCATAAATATGTTTTCCTTCTATCATCGTTATTCTCGTCTAAATAATTAAAAGCATGGACAGGACATTTCTCATGTAAACTACAAGCTGCAGGTGGTTTAAATTTCAACCCCCCCCCCTACCGCCCCACAACCCCCACCCCAATAATGTAAATAAATAAGTAATAGCCATGTTAGTACTATACAATATTTTTGCATAACAGAAGCAGATCAAGCAATTTCCGTTTTGTCCCCCCCCCCCNCATGTACAGATCTCACTTAATGTCAGTGCTGAGTTTCATCACGTTTCGAAGGGTGTAATATAACTATGAACTTTTACATTAAAATAATCAATTATGAAGGTTCAAGCCTAAGGGAGGGGGGGGGGGAGAGGGTAATGTCTGTGCACGACATGAGTTTTTTTATTTAATGTACTTCTGTAATTCATTGCATGCATTAAAAAAAAAATCCCTTGGTCTTACTGTGTGGTTAAGAGAGAGGGAGAGGGTGGGGGTGGGGCGTTGGCTTGAAAAGGTGTAATAGAATGATTATTTATTTTTATTTTCCCCGTCCCATGCTACGAAAAACTTTGTCAATCGCAAAGGAACTGTTTCCAAATGTGTATTCAAAGAGCAGAGAGACGACATCTCTGTGTCAGCCCCATATTAGAAAAAGTAAATGATATCAGTTGATCTTGATAAATTCAGACAGTTTTCCTGGACACCAACCTCCACTTTCCTCAACCAGTGGCATATGAGAAAAAAAAAGGTGGGTGGTTACGGTCCACCACGAGGGGAAAAGGGGGGGGGGCACTCTTTTCATTTTGTGGACGGGTGGCCAACCACAGATGTTGTTTTTATTTTTTTGGAAGGGGTGGCCAAATTCTCAGCGCCCCCCCCCCGACCCCGGGCGGGACTTACTCAAGCTACGCAGCTGGTTCCAAGTAAATGAGTTTTTTTTTTTTATTTTTTTTTTTTAGGTTTTTTTAGTTAGCTAATGATGTTGCTTTATTCGTTCATTTATCAAATTGTACCTACGAAATACATATTTTAAAACATAAAAAAACCCCAGAAAATCGTGTTGAGCTACAAAAGGGGATCGTTTATTTCCAAGTGCGCAAGGATACATTATTTTCTTGTTCAGCTACAGACTCGCCATCCCCCTTACCCCCCTCCCCCCCCCNTTGGGGGGAAAAGTGTGTGTGGGGGAGGGGGTCCACGCTGATAATTCAGTGAGTTGATCCCGTTATGTGTCAGTCATGCTGCGTAAAAAGAGTTAGGTCAAGACTCTCAGAGCGCAGCTGATGACACGGGTACGTAGGGTTTTGTCTGAAAGAAAGAAATCAGCTCATGTAATTTTTTTTTTTTTTTTTATATTGGAATTCAGGGACAACAAAATTAATATCAACATCGGTTTCAAGGTTTGCTGAACCATTTGAACTTTCAGCATTCTGGTGCCACTGCATTCTGGTGCCACAGCATTCTGGTGCCACAGCATTCTGGTGCCACTGCATTCTGGTGCCACTGCTTTCTGGTGCCAGAGCATTCTGGTGCCACTGCCTAAAACCGTTACATCAAAGCTAATTTGCAGTGCGGGCATCTAATGTCGACATTCTTGAATTTCTTTTAATTGCATTTTTATTTATTTTTTTCAGCACAAATCTTTTTTTTTTTCTTTTCTTTATGATTGTCTAGATATGTGACATTCTTTTCAGTTAGTAATAACTCGAAATAACGTCTTTATTGTGTTAGGTAAAGTGATGGATATTTATTTCGTCTTTACTATTTTCGCAAGTTATTCATTTCTGCTGGACACCCCCCCTTCCACACCCCAACCTCCCCCATTGCAGGCACGATAATTTAATTTTAATTCTTTGAGTACACTAGCCAAACCGACATTTTCGCGCTAATATCTTTAGAACTCATTTTCTGAGTGAGATTTCAAAATAAGATCAGCAAACAAATATTCCCTATCAATTTCAATCTAAATGGATAATTCATTTAATTAATTTTTTTGGTTCTTATCGCCATTGCAGCTTTAGGATATTCCTCAAGCTAACATGACATTTTCGGAAGTCTGAAATTCGTTGAGAAAGTTGTTGTTTTTTTAATTTAAAAAAGCGATCGTCTATTCCACTACACCGAGTTGCATACTTACTTTGAAGGCAGGGTAAACACATCAAGCTGCAATTCTTGCACATTGGTATTCTGACACATTACTTTGGCCAAAGTCATGTTCCGCAACGATAAAAGTTGTTCTGATAAAAATAATTTAAAAAGCCAGCATATTTTTTGGTATAACTTCCCGGATTGGAGAGTGCAGTACGTAAGGTGACAACCCGCCCCCCCCCTCCTCCCCGATGATAAAATTGATAAAATCAAAACGTGCATTAATTTGTTTATACTCCTACCACCATTAAATTAATGTATGCCATCGTTATTGCATCCCCTTTTTTAAAGTTATTTTCAGCATCCTACCATCATTGAATCCTTATATATGTACCATCCTACCATCATTGAATCCTAATAAGCGTACCATCCTACCATCATTGAATCGTTATATATGTACCATCCTACCATCATTGAATCCTAATATATGTACCATCCTACCATCATTGAATCGTAATATATGTACCATCCTACCATCATTGAATCCCAAGGTTTCATCTGTAGTATCGAAGAAAAATCGGTCTCCGAATTTCAAACTGAAGAACTGTATCCCAAGCAAACACGTGAGTGTTGACCCGACAGAAGCGTCCCCCTTGACAGGTTCATACAACAGCCCGACAAACAGGTCAATATCAGCAATGGACCTGGGGACGATATATTAACTGCAACAAATGTATTGTGTCTGAAAGTTGTGTTGCCTGGCTGATTTTACCATCAGACGGAATTTATGACTGATTTTACCATCAGACTGAATTTATGTATGATTTTACCATCATACTGAATTTATGTATGATTTTACCATCAGACTGAATTTATGGATGATTTTACCATCAGACTGAATTTATGGCTGATTTTACCACCAGAGTGAATTTATGGTTGAATTTAATATAAGACTGAATTTATGGTTGAATTTACCATCAGAATAAATTTATGGTTGAATTTACTATGAGACTAAAAATGTTGGCTGAATAATATACCATTTGACTGCATTTGTGGTTGAATTTACCATTAGACTAAATTTATGGTTGAATTTACCATCAGAGTCAATTTATGGGTGAATCTGTGTGTATGGGAAAAAAGTGTGGGGGTGGGCAGACGCGAGTATTCCCACCTGGATGCTTTAAAATTATATCTCTTTTTTAAATCCCCTCCCAACTGCTTCATCTGCACATGAACTGGATGTCTTCTTGTCCTTTACTTGCACTAGATATTTACAAACCTGTAAACCTTGGCCAGATCGCGAACATATGGACCTAGAGCCTCCTGGTCATCAAAACCTTTGACAGGCGGGAGGCCACAGAAGGTCCGGTACTTGATGTACGGAGCAAGGCCATGGTCACGGCCACGTTGGATGTTTAGTGATGCAAGGTCGAGTTTTCGGCCAGGGAAGGCTGCGGCCTCGAATAAGAACCGGCTGACTTCCCTGACTGTAACATGGAGGAGAGACCATCTTTCAATGGATATATCTCACTACAAGCGAGGAACAGCTGGTATTGGGTTAGCGGTAAGGCCAGCGACGTCTTCCACAGTTTATAAGCTCATGGCAATATTTTCATATTCAAAAAAATTTTTTGTTTGTTTAGCTTTACGTTTATTTGATTCAATTGTCCTCATTTTTAAAAAAAGAAAAAAATGTGATGGAACAGGGGAGGGGTTATGGAGATGGATCTCCATTCCCCAGAAAATTATTTTGCTTCTTAATTTTTTTTTTTAAATCTAAAAGTGGGTGGGGGGGTGGGGGTTACGGGGTGTCTCCCTTCCCAAAACTTTTATGGTAACATGCCCCGTGACATGATAGAAACGAATAGCACACAGGTTCTTCTTTTCATTTCCCCAACCAATCAGAAGACAGCACTTAAAGAGCTCTACTTTCTGTTTCCAGTCCCACGACCATACACGTGACCTGAACTATTCTATTCAATCTATTTCATATTAATTCAATCTATTTCATATTAATTCAATATATTTCATATTTAATTCAATCTATTTTATTTTAATTCAATCTATTTCATATAAATTCAATCTATTTCATATTAATTCAATCTATTTCATATTTTTAAAAAAATATATTCCAAAATAATCAGAACAAGTTTATCAAATTCGTTCAATAATATAGCACAGTGAACAATGAAAATAAGTTTTTTCTAAAAATATAGGGTGGAGGGGGTGAAAAAAATGTGTGTGTGTGGAAAAAAAGGGGGGGGGGCATAATTGAAAGTATCTGTTCCAGATAAAATGGCACTTAAATTATTAGAACAAGCTTCAGCTTGATTAAAGGTGGATTTGTATTATTAAGGAACGTTCCAATATAAAAAAAAAAGGTTTTTTATTTTGTTTATTAATATCTAATTTAAAATTATATATATATATATATATATACATATATAGATATAGATATAGGTATAGATATAGATATATTTATATAGAGAAATAGATTTAACTTGCCAACATTTCTGTCAACCTTTTTCAGCGCTCGTTTGTATTGTTTGTTTACTACCGCTGCAAGACCAGCCATGATGCCTTCAAAATTATTTAAACATTCTGCGGGCCTAGAAATACAACAACAAAAAATTGCATGTAACAGTAATGGTTCGCTTCGGTGCTATTTTTATGTATGCAATGTCTTAAATTATCCAAGAAATAATTTTATTTCAATGAAAAAAAATATTTTTTTTAAAGTACTATCAAGTTCGTGTTTTAATTTTAAATGTTAACAATTTCGAACCATATTCAAATGAAACTATAAAACAAAATTAAACTTTTAAAATGATTACATCAAACAGGCATAAGAAGTCTTCCATAAAACTAAGGAAAGTACTGGGGGGGGGGGGAGAGGAGGGGGAGACTTTGTCAGAGTTTTTGGTAAGGAAACCAAATTTCAGATATTATTCTAATAATTAGCTGCATTGTACGTCTGGGACCCAGTGATACAGACAATTTGAAAAGGTTATCTATATTAAAGGAGGGGGAGACTTTGTCAGAGTTTTTGGTAAGGAAACCAAATTTCAGATTTTAGAATTTAAAAATAAAAAAATTAAAAATACAAATGAAATAACAACCCCCGTCCAGTACATCACAGCTGCTTCCAGGCTGGGTTAACGTTAAATAATGTCTCATTCTTTCTTAAGTATAGACAAATTTTCAAATTTAATCATTTGGAAAAAAAAAAAAAATTCTTATGAACGGAGCCACAAAACAATGAAGTTAAAAGCACGACAGCAGATTACAAATTTATACCAAGGCCTCTTGTAATGTTAATTAATAATAGTGCCGAAGATGTTCTACATAGCCTAACATTTTTTTTCTAGAAATACCTGTGGAACAGGTCTCTCATTTTGACAAGTTCATCAGAAAAAGAAAGAGGATCTGGTAAGGTGGCGTGGCCGAATCTCCCAATTTATACCTGGTTCCTTATCCTATATATTAATAGTAGTGTCAATTAGCATCTACATATCCTAATATTTTTCTAGAAATACCTGTGGAACAGGTCTCTCATTTTGACAAGTTCATCAGAAAAAGAAAGAGGATCTGGTAAGGTGGCGTGGCCGAATCTCCCAACTTATACCTGGTTCCTTATCCTATATATTAATAATAGTGTCAATTAGCATCTACATATCCTAATATTTTTCTAGAATACCTGTGGAACAGGTGTCTCATTCGGACCACTTTGTCAGAAAAAGGGAGAACCTCTGGTATGGTGGCGTGGCCGAATCTGTCATAAATAGCGTTTCATATTAAGATCAACTTTGTTCGTTCTAGTTACCAAAAAAAAAAAAAAACACAAAAAAACAAAAAAAAACAATGCATCTGTGTTTCGTTGCTAATATTGGGAAAATGATATAGTTAAAATACAAAATATTAATGGTGCAGCTATTTTCAATAATAGGACCACTTTGTCAGAAAAAGGGAGAAAGTCTGGTATGGTGGCTTGGCAGAATCTGTCATAAATAGCGTTTCATATTAAGATAAACTTTGTTCGTTCTAGTTACCAAAAAAAAAAAAAAAACACAAAAAAACAAAAAAAAACAATGCATCTGTGTTTCGTTGCTAATATTGGGAAAATGATATAGTTAAAATACAAAATATTAATGGTGCAGCTATTTTCAATAATCCAATACGGTCATTCTACACATTATTTGTGAGATTTAATTTGTAGTGTGTGTGTGTGAAATTGGGGGGGGGGGGTGCAAATGTAACAGTAAGAAATAAAACCTGAAGGCAGCCGTTGAAAACTCGATGAAGACGCTGGGGTCAAGGGCAGGGTTTTAGGCCGTCCTCCCGACCTTTGACATCAGATTCCAACTGTGGGCGTCTTTCCCAAGAATAATGGGCAGGTACTCGTTGTAATTGATGATTTGCTCTAAGGCGTAGGTGTAAGTAATGTTAAAAATGTGGGGAAATGATTTCATATCATCTGTCAATCTTGTCCATTTAAGGCAGGGGTCTCAAACTCGCGGTCCGCGGGCCATTTGCGGACCGTTCGAAGATAGCTTTTGCCCGATACCTGATATCATAGTTAATTAGTGTTAATTCAGTCAGCGCGTTTTCCGCATTCTCCTATCAATAATGTGAACCTCCGCGATGGTTTCACTCCAATCTAACCGACTAGTCTAATTCTGATTTTCATTATTTTTGTATAGGTTTGGGCGTTGATTATAAGGGTTAAAACCATTTTAAAAACGGACTAAAAGAGTTTATTTTATTTCATTTATGAGACAAACATGTCCAAAGTGCGGTTTGGAGGAAAAAATAAATTGTGTATTGTATATACAAATGTCAAAAGTTTAAAAAGTGAGTTGGTGGGTAATGCACAACAATAATTGTGCGAAACGTAGCAATCTGGTACAATATCAAAGATCCCCTATTAAAATTCCCGATAGTGTTTACGTGTGAGGTAAATTTCGAGCCTGTGAGCTTGGTCACTTTCAAAATAGAGTTAGTGAAAAAGGCGTTTTCTACGATTTAAAAAAAAACTGAATTCATTCTCACTACAATAGCATTTTCCTTTGCGTCAATAAGTCATAAATATTGCCATTCACCCTTGATACCGTGGGCAATGATATTTTGATTAAAATCTATAAATTATCTTAATGTGTGTTGCAACCAAAAAAAAACCAAAACAACAGACTTTTTAAAAAATTCTTAGGTTTATGTGTTTTTTTTTTGTTGTTTTTTTTCAGTAGTTCAAACAAAACGCATACACTATAATAAAACTCTCAAATCTTCAAGACTGCACTTGCCGACATTCCCAGACGATTATTTACCTCCAATAATCTTGCGGGCGACTTGAAAGATCTCCTCATCTGAGCTTTTAAAGTTGAGAGTCCTGAGCTGCTTGGAGATTCTATTGTGCTCACGGAGCCACAAGGTGTGAAGAACGCACAGGCCAGGTTGTTCATTGACCCTTGAGTCGCCTTGGCGGTAGTGTCAGCTGGATGACGTTAGATGGAACACGGGTAGAAAGTAAGTGAACAGATATTGAAAGTTAATAAGATAAATGTATGTTTATTTCGGTATAACTTTAAATACCGATATAGTCTATATATTTACGTGAAATAATCGTTTAAAATCTTTTTTCTGAAATCAGGAATTACTAATGTTTGGTCATACTTCATTTTGTATTAAATAGAAAACATAAGACTATTTATTGCTTTTTTATTATTATTAAATTGTATATATTCATTTTAAACACACAAATAATTACATATTTTTAACCAAGACACACATTTAACAATTATAACAATTTAAACGCACGACATCTAAAGCGTTTCTCTGGCGTAGAAATCAACCTTAAAAGAACTCCATAAGTGACAAAAATGACTGAATTAGTGATCATTTAGGTCTGGTAATAGCTATGGAGCACGCTGGTAATTCGCACAGACTGGGGAACAAAAGAATTTATGTATCTTTTTAATCACCTGCCAACTGGCAATAATCAGTTGAATTCGGTCTCAAAACGCAGTTATGCGTCGCAGACTTTGGTAATGTTCCGTGTTCACCAGTTTTCAAAAGATAACCTGGTAGAAGAAGTTTTGTTTCTGATCAATAAACGTGTACATACATGTATCAACGACCTTATATGATGGTCTTTACATACGGAGGTGACTATTGTATTAATCAATAAAGAGGCACGGGTATGGAGCAGGACTGTCTGTAAGACTATTGTTTACAGGTAGACAGTTATGGTGTAGGACTGTCTGTGGGCCTATTGTTTACAGGCAGACAGTTACGGTGTAGGACTGTCTGTGGGCCTATTGTTTACAGGTAGACAGTTATGGTGTAGGACTGTCTGTGGGCCTATTGTTTACAGGTAGACAGTTACGGTGTAGGACTGTCTGTGGGCCTATTGTTTACAGGTAGACAGTTATGGTGTAGGACTGTCTGTGGGCCTATTGTTTACATGCTGGCACACATTATAGACAATGAGACGCGAACCATCTTTTTTTGTGTGTAACACTTGGACCTAGCAGGGATTTTCTCAAAACAACCGGACCAGGCGTAAAAAAACAACTGCACCCGGTTAAACCGTATATTTAAATAAAAATATTTATTTTTGTGTTGTCACAAATTACCACTATACTAAACGAAGCCATTGAACTACTTATGTAAATAGTAGTACATTAAACAGTCTACAACATGGATCATGTTTGTGTGAGCATGGTAAAATTTCAATTTATAGTCATGTTATTTTTTTTTCCTTTTACTAGAATTCTGAATACAAGTTTGTAACTTTAGAAATAAAAAAATAAAAAATGAAAGCATCTATTTGTCATAGTGCCAAAGGTGATAGTTTGAGAATCGATGAACGAACCCGTACCTCCAGATCTGAGACCTGATGCTTGAGTTGTCTCCGAGCCGTACACCTGTGAGGCGTCTATGAATGATGTAATACTGTTTATCTGTGCCCTAGGCCCTGTGACAATAGAGCTCGTAAACAGGATACTATAGACTTGTAATGATGAAATTGGTTAGAAAATCAGTTATCAACGTTTGGTGATTGCATTTGTCTTTTTTTTTTTTCGTCGTCATGTGAGATATCGATATATTTTCTTTAGATATTCAAATCGACTTAGTTTTTGGATCATGTATATTCAATGTGCTGAGAAGAATGGCATAGTCTGTTTTAATAATCAGCATTATGCCAGCAATATTAAGATTTTAAATAAACTATCATGACTGTTGTGATAGTTTTAACCACTCTTGAGTCCTAACACGGAAAAGCAAATCTGGCCATGTTTTTCTCAATTGGTGCATAAGGGCTTCTTGACTTCACTCTGTATTCATGCATTTCAACGTCTCATAGGCGTTTCAACGGTGCAACAAATCTACGTCATTTTTTGCTCACAGACTTTTTTTGTTAAAACTACATCTTTTGTGCAAAATTAAAATGAAATTGTCTCGGAAACAGAAGAGGTCCCTCCACCCTAGAAATGTCTTTAAGATTTTGACCTACTTAATGGAATTCCTTGATGACTATGAGCAGCCACTGACCTGACGAATTCCATGCACCGGCCTCCGGAAAATGTGTCATTTTGGGGGATTTCTATGGGGAAACAGTGACTTGGAAGATAAGAAAATACATAATAACAAGAATAAGTAGACGATGGTGACTTATCTATGTTTACGTGCTTTATTATCTTCATGTTTAATGAAATAAACTACCGTATTTATCGGCGTACAACATGCACTTCTTTTCCCTGAAAATAGAGGGCAAATGATGTGTGCGTGTTATACGCCGATGTAATGTTAAGTTATTTTTTCCTGAAATTTCCTTCTTAAAATGTGGTGCGTTTTATGCGCCGGTGCGTGTTACACGCCGATAAATACGGTAACTTACAAAAGCAACGCTATTCAACATCAAAATCCCCCGTTAATATGATACACGAATAATTAAATATACTTGAACAATTAACAAATTATATTCACAACAATGTTAAACTACTGTGTCAATACAGGTTTAATACAGTGTGTATTCATAAATAATTCAAAAGTATAAATAACGCATAACTTATCAATATATTACTGTCAATTATTATCAAAATGTGTTCGTCCTACATTTAGTCAATTGCCGTTAACTTTATTAAGCCAAGACAGCATAACAATCACACCAAAGTGGCGCTAAAATACAATAGTTTCCTGCAGTCAAGGCACTCAAGAGATCTCACCGATTGTTGATGAATGGAGGCGGTTCTCCATTCGGTCCGCAACACTTGATTGCTCCATTGGGTCCTATCGACAAAAATTGATAGTTTATCTTGATCTCCAACAACACAATGGCTCAAAAGACCAACCTAAATATAATTATAGACGTTATCTTCCATTTTCAATATAATTTGGTTGCGTTGAGTAAAACTTTTATATATATAAACGAGAGCTAAAAATTGTTTTAACAATTAACAAAAATTAACAATGATTTTTTTAGATCGGAAATAGAAAAATCCCCAAGGAAAAAAAAAAGGAATCTATATTTTTTTTAAATTTTTAACAACTAACCTGTTGTAATAGGGATTGCTGAGAGGTCATGAATGACCCACTGACCCCACTGCATGACCATGTTTGTACGATTCGTGGGCTCAATAACGGAGGGGAACACGTTTGCGCTTACGTATCCACCCCCACCCCCCCCCACCCCAAAAAAAAAAAAGAAGTTTTTCCTGTTTTTTAAAATGGCAGATGAATGAAATATGATTTGTTCAATGGGTGCGTCTTTTTGGCGCAGACTTTAATTGTGCAGCTTTCGTCTATTAGGTTTTACAACCCCCCCCCACCCCAAAAAAAAAAAGAAGTTTTTCCTGTTTTTTAAAATGGCAGATGAATGAAATATGATTTGTTCAATGGGTGCGTCTTTTTGGCGCAGACTTTAATTGTGCAGCTTTCGTCTATTAGGTTTTACATTCACCAAGTTTGTTAAAAATTCATTCCCATTACAAAAAATCAGTTGCTACAATTACACAAATGATAAATCACGTACAATTACACAAATGATGAATCGCGTACAATTATACAAATGATAAATCACGTACAATTACACAAATGATAAATCACATACAATTACACAAATGATGAATCGCGTACAATTACACAAATGATAAATCACGTACAATTATAGAAATGATAAATCACGTACAATTATAGAAATGATAAATCACGTACAATTACACAAATGATGAATCGCGTACAATTACACAAATGATAAATCACGTACAATTACACAAATGATAAATCACGTACAATTACACAAATGATAAATCACGTACAATTACACAAATGATAAATCACATACAATTACACAAATGATAAATCACATACAATTACACAGATAATGAATCGTGTACAATTACACAAATGATAAATCACGTACAATTATAGAAATGATAAATCACGTACAATTATAGAAATTATAAATCACATACAATTACACAAATGATAAATCACGTACAATTATAGAAATGATAAATCACGTACAATTACACAAATGATAAATCAAGTACAATTACACAAATAATAAATCACGTACAATTACATAAATAGTATATCACGTACAATTAAAAAAATGATAAATCACGTACAATTATATAAATGATAAATCACGTATAATTACACAAATCATAAATCACATACAATTACACAAATGATGAATCGCTTACAATTACACAAATGATAAATCAAGTACAATTACACAAAATGATGAATCACGTACAATTACACAATTGATGAATCACGTACAATTACACAAATGATGAATCGCTTACAATTACACAAATGAAAAATCATGTAAAATTATTCAAATGATAAATCACGTACAATTACACAAATGATAAATCATGTACAATTACACAAAATGATAAATCACGTACAATTACACAAATGATAAATTACGTACAATTACACAAATGATGAATCGCTTACAATTACACAAATGATAAATCATGTAAAATTATTCAAATGATAAATCACGTACAATTACACAAATGATAAATCAAGTACAATTACACAAATGATAAATCATGTAAAATTACACAAATGATAAATCACGTACAATTACCCAGAAGCAAACAAAAATGCGTACAAAGGATTTATATGAAAACTTTGTTTTTAAGGTTGTTTAATTTTCACATTTTTATATATGGGTGTGGTGGGGGGGGGTCTTTAGGTATTGTTTAATTATTTGTATAAAGCGTGAAGATATTTTTGCCGTTCTCCCCTTCACGCTACAAACTCTGCAGTTGTCCGAAGATGCCGCCCCTGCAAGAAAGAAAAAGTGAAACCTTGGTGGACCCGCTCTATTTCGACGCCACTAGCAGGGGCGTATATACAGTATTTAGTGTGAGTGGGCAAGTGTCATTTTTTACGCCCCCCCCCCCCAACTCTGAAACTGATTATTTTCAACCAATAAGTATCATTAAAGACCACCTCTCTTTTAGCCTGTTGTCCGAGACCTATGCCCCCATCTGTCAACCCTTGGCCACTATTATTTTCAACCAATAAGTATCATTAAAGACCACCTCCCTTTTAGCCTGTTGTCCGAGACCTATGCCCCCATCTGTCAACCCTTGGCCACTCCTCTGGCAAATGACAGCCCCCCCCCCGAAAATTTAAGTGTCCCCCCCCCCTCGGGAAAATGTCTGAAAGAAACAATTTCTCTTCATCAATTCAGTAGCGTAACTAAGGTTGGTGTCTCCAGGTGACACCAACCTTAGTTACGCTACTGAATTGATGAAGAAAAATTGTACTGAGAAGATCTGTGGGGCCACACGCACACACTCAACACACACAACACACACACATTTTGTTTCCTAACACACATATTATATATTTTCACTAAAAAAATATTATAGTATTCTATTTACCAACCGGGTGCCAGCGCCTTGTGAGTTTCCAACCTTTACCAGGAAACAGTCCTGACGTCATGGCCGCATGAGTTGAACCCAGGACATAAAACTCCTGGGCTGGTGTAGGGTTGGTTTGCTCTGGTGTTGGATCTCATCAAGAAATTCCATGTTTGCAGATTTTTCTCATAGACTTACAAGCAATAATTTTTAAAATATTAGTTAGTTAATCACCATTGTAGCGTTGCTAGTTTTTTTTTTTTTTTTTTTTTTTTTAATTTTTTTTTTT